CCCCAAAACCCCAAAACCCCAAAACCCCAAAACCCCAAAACCCCGTTGAGGAAAGTTTCATATCCATAAGGAGTAAGAATAATATCATGTTTAATAGTGAATAAAATCTTCACGGATATTTCAAATCTTGATTTAAGTTTATTCCACTATTCAATAAATAATAATTAATTCCAAACTTCAAGTCCATCCATCACTATGTAAAGCAATCACGCAGTCGCCCCAGAACTTTTAAACCAATAAATTCCAAAGCTTTACGAATACTCCTTCTAGAGAAATGTATACGACTAGTCTACATTTTACGGAAGGTTTATGCATTTCCAGAGAGTAGTTGACCCAAGAAACTTCTTCATAACTAAAGAAAGGATTTAACAATCAAAGCAAATGGTGGAGAACTCAAGAAAACAGCAGGCAGCTCAAAACAACAAGCCTCTGCTTTTAAGTTCTCAGGACTACTCTCAATTGGCTCGTGCTGCATACATAGTCGGTTCTTCAACCTCCAGAGATACTGGTGAAGAAATACCTAGATTGATGAGAATGTGTGCTTTCTTACCTGCAAATATTCCTATATTGTTTGGAATGCTCCTTTCCCCTCCATCAGTCGCAAATACTATCTTCTGGTAATGGTTTAACTAGTCATTCAACGCTGGCTTGAACTATGGCAACAGAAATGCCTCCAGTCCCTACACAACCAAGGACCTTGCTTTTGGCTACTCAGCTGCCGTAGGATCCTCTGTGACAATGGCTCTCCTGCTTAGAAAATTATTCTCAAATGTTTCAAAGAACGTGACTGGTGCCAAGTTTATTCTTGTTAACTCAGTAGTAGCCTCAATTGCTAGTGGCACAGCAGGCTTCCTCAACACCTTCTGCATGAGGAAGGTAGAGATGACTAACGGAATTGAAGTTTTCAGAGATCAGGATTTAACAGAAAAGGTCGGAAAATCTAAAGTTTGCGCTGAAAGGGCAATTATGGAGACTGCTACTTCTAGAATCTTCCTATCTTTTGCTTGTTTAATGACTCCTGCTGTTATTTTCTATGCCTTTGAGAGAATGGGTAGAACTCCATCTGGTTCTAAAGCTAAGATATTTTTCGAAGCTGGAGTCTTTACCTTCTCCTTGATGTTCGCTCTACCGGCAAGTATTGCCTTATTCCCACAAATAGGAGTCATGAAAATTGATCAAGTTGAATAGGAGTTGAGAAGTATCAACTAAGATATCAAAGTATTGTACTACAACAAAGGACTCTGAGGAATTATTAGATCCTCGTTAAAGTCTTTGTGAATGACGATACACAAATTTAAAGAAATATCAAAAACTATAGTATTAAAAACGAAATATTAATTTTATTAAAAGCTTAAGTACTAATTCATCTTCTTCCATTTTCTTAAAGTTTAATCAAAACTAGAGTTCACTGTCATAAAAATTTTGCAAGAACTTGAAGAACCCGTGAAGCTATTATTAAAATTAGTTTAGTTGAAACAGGATTCTATTCTTACTTCATTATTCGATAGAATTTTGAATTAACAGAATTCTTTGAGAGCTTTACAATATTTGACTTGTCTTTCCAATTTATATTTATCGATCTCAATGTAAGCCATATTGATGATTATTATATTGTAAAGCATGTCAATATCTCTAAAGTCTCTATCAAGCTAAAATTTTGTCATCAGTAAATTACTATAATGCTTTACTTACAATCTCAAGCTCGTACTTAGCTTATTTATATCTTTGAATCATTTTTCTATCTATCACACTTAGCTATTCCAAAGATCTATCAAGTTTAGATTTGATTTCAGTTCTCTGCAGGCTAAGTCTTTTTATTTCTTTCATAGCTTCATTGAAACTTTCACAGTCACTCAACTCGTCTCTGACGAAATCATTTAAGGTATTCAATGCATTCATTTGCATTTCAACGTTCTATTGGTGAATAAGAATTTTTAAACAAAAACTGGTTTTAATTAAGCTTACCATGTCATTAAAGCGATCACAAGCTTTTTGATCTGATCTAAATATCGAAGCATCATTCGCATCTTCTTTTGCAAGTTCTTCTTCTAAAATACTCAGCTAAGAGAATAGCTTAGCTGTAATAATATTAATGATTTATATTGAAAGTATTTACACAGTCTTTAGTCGAGAATATTTTGGGTTGCGATTGCCTATTCAGTTATAATCTTAAATTTGATCATAATTTTAGTCTGCTACCTGATAAAAATTCTAAACTTCTCAATTTTATCATGAATGCCTTGATTCACTTCTAACTAGTATTATAATTTAAAAAGAAGAAGCTTACTCCAGACAGATGTAGAAAGTGCTCTTTGTATTTATTGAGAATTTAAGCTTAAGAGATTCTGCTCAAAGTATTTAAAGTAGATTCTAAATTTGTCTTAAGTTTTCGATTGCAAAATGCTTTAAACAGGTCTAAATAGTAGTTCGTTAAAGTCTTTTTAAATTACCTGAATCTACTAAATACTAGCAAAGTTTAATTTTCTCACAAAATGTTTCTATTTATCTGACTTGTATTTCTGGCTTTCTTTTATCAAAAATATATTGAGGCAGATCCTATATAGTTAATTATCCAAGTTTATTACAGTTTAGACCTCTACTGGAATAATTTTAGGAATATAGCAACCTGGAAATGCTCTAGCGAATGCAAGTCTTAAATCAAGAAAATCTTTAATAGTTCTTTCAACTGCCTTGGCTTCATTTACCCTTAAAGTAAATATCAATATATGTGAACGATCTCTTTGAGTTTTTTTCCCCTTAACTTTTTCTGGTGAGCTATATCCATCACTTTCGTTACCAGATTAAAGTATCTATCATATAATAATCGATAAAATTTCATTATACCTGAGAATTCTGCTTAGTAAGAGTTGATCTACCGCTAGTAATACTACTTCTTCTTGAATGATTAGCAGAGGAATTTATGACAGTGATTGACTTACTTAGATAGCTCAATTATCTTTTAGAGTAAGCAAGTATATTACTTTCAACAATAATTGAATATCGTCTTTATCTTTCACCATTTGGTCCAAGTTACTCCATATATTGCGAGGCATTTCTATCTTTATTCTCATATAGACCATACTGCTCCTCATTATTTGGATCACTAATCACTTAGAATACATTGCTTTACGTTCTTGATGATGGCTGAAATATAACTTTTTTGCAGAAATCCAATACATCATCTTCTTTGTCTAAGTATAATTCAGTCATCTGTGGCATCCTTTCATTCAATGAAAACACCAAGTAATTCTCTGTAAAGCAGCACTTCTTTTGTTGGAAGTATGAGGACTGAATGGTTTGTACGTCATCATTATCATCAAGTTAGTAATGAAATGAAGAAAAATCACTTTGAGACATTTTGGAATCAGCTTTATTATAATTTAATGTGGCTAAATCATTTCAAAATTAACAATAATGTTATCAGGATGAGGGGGTTTTGGGGTTTTGGGGTTTTGGGG